TTGTTTAGACCGCAGGTTCTTGCTTTGTTTTTAATGGTTATTGTTTTGTTTTGTTTCCTTCAAATATATTAAGTCTTTGTTGAAACATAAAAGTTTGGGAGCTGGAAACGTTCTTATATTTCTGTATGTCATGTATCCCGGATTAACTGAATTGAGCAGAAAGTACGAAATATAAAATGTACTTAACATTTATTGTTATAGCGCAGTGTATTGGAGCATGGCTCATTATTTCTCTTCATTGTAGTTGTTCCCCTTCGACTTATAAAACAAAGAAAGAAAAGGAAACAAATCTTACATCCCCTAAAATGTGGGCGAAAAATATGAAATGTGAAAGCGAGACAGCGCTTTGCTACACCGCGGGATTTTAGCGTCATTCGGCTGTTGTAGTCTATGGTAACGCACGAATGCCACACCCATTTATCTCTAAGATCTCTTCACAGTGCGAGATCCTTCGCCATATTGTACAACGCAATGATAGCTCTATTACCTGATATAAGTTTAGATAACAGGATCGAATAGTCATTAGTGGTTCCCATTCTGAAACTTCATAGCCGAACGATTCCCTGGCCATGGGTTCCAATCCCCGATCCCCCCTGTTGTGATCCTTGGTATATCTGCGCCTCACTCGAATTCCCCCTGGTGGACATGTATAAGGAGGACTATGAGTTTATGATTATGGATTAGGGATAACGAAACCACGAAGTGATGTACTGTGAGTGAGTGAGTTGGGTTTAACACCGCATTTAACAGTATTCCAGTTATATCACGGCGTGTCAGCTTAATGTGGGAGGAAAGCCCGAAGTGATGCAGGTCTCAGACGTTTACCACTTCGGTGAAACCCACGAGCACGGGTATGGTGCTGACAAACCTAGAAACATAATCGGGGCGAACCGGGATTCGAACCCACAGTCATAGGTTTCTGGCGTGCACAGCGAATCGCGGCGCCTTAGACGACTGGGCCACCCGTGCCCCCAGTGATGTACTGTAGGAATAAGAATAGTTGTAGGCGAAACCACAGAAATGTTTTCCGTATCAAGATACAAATAATTCTGGATGCAGTGTCAAGGTCGAGGTCATCGATGCTTAAAGTCTGAATGTCGCTCTGGCTGAAGTAGACATCACAATCTCACTGGGCTAAACCACAATAACGATTGCAGTATCAAAACACACATCTAGGTCAGCGATGGCAGACGATATCAGAAGACTTCGGTTAACCACAAATATACAGATAAAGATGTATGAAAAATCTGCAGATTTTGCAGACGTGGACTTGACCTTTAGCAGGCCACCAGTATAGACCAGTGCTTTAATGTAATACAGCTGTGGGCTGAACGTCGCTAAAGACATATTTCACTTATATCGTCCGGAAATTACAAAGTGACACGTATCGTAGTCGTTTACCACTTGGATGTAACTGGTAGGTATGGTGCTTATAAATCGTAATCCATGACAATCGAACCCTGGCACGCCAAAGGGGCGCAACTCATTTCCTGCAAATATAATAATGTCATTGCTGGAATCATTAACACAGATAAGCCCCAGCGCATAATGCAAACATTGAGATTACCACATGAGAGCCCCGGGTCCACCACGTCAATGTTCTGCAGTGAAACATCGTGAATAGGCCACTAGACGTCTGTTAGCAGATGTTCAAGTTACACTGAGAAGTCACAAACAACCAAAGACGTATGCAGATACTAGTATACGTCTTTGCGAACGGCTAAGGCAGAACCACGCCGCAGACCAAAGCAGGAGAATTACATTCGGCTGCATACAGAATATTCATTGTGTACCAACAGCATGGTACGTCACGTGACCGACCCAGGTCAGGCCGACCACGTGTTCGGCGGCGTCCAACGACAACGTCAGCAGCAATTCCAGCAATACAGTTCGGAACTGTCTTCGTGAGGCAGATCTCAAAGGTGTTGGTTTGACACAACGACACTGCTACGTAAGTGGCCAGGGGACGACCAGGGCCCACTTGTACAAAGCGATCTTAGCGCTAAGATGATCGTAACTCCCATACATTAACATAGGTTACAATAGTCGTAGCGCTAAGATTGCTTTGTGCAAGAGGGCCCAGGTCGCCCATATAAACAAGGATCAGTCAGCACAGGCCCCCAGTGAGAAGAATGGTGTTGATCTTGTGATCAGACGTAATACATCTTCTTCTCACAGTCGAGTTCGGGCGTGCATTGATCCCCGTGGTTGGCATACGCAATATGACAATCTCAAGGATCAAAGGGAGCTTCATGTACTGTTTTCAGTCTTGATGGTTGATCGAATACTGAACAACTGATCCCATCCTCCAAACTGTGGACACAGTACGTTATTTTTTGTTCTCATTCATAACATTACTTGTTATGATGTTGATATATAATTCATATCTTTTGATAATTTAAGTATATTTATTTTGTATTGTTTTCCAAGTAAGGGTTAATGATGTTTAATAGGTATTTCACATCCCAGTCAACAACTGTTTCAGTCATATCACAGCCGGACAAGTGGAATCAATAACTTTGTCCAAGGGTACGAAACAGTGATTTGCATGATATAAAATCTTGAAATGGAAAATATAAAATGATTATTCATAGATAAGTGTTCCAAGCATAGTGTCTGTCATGCTCATATCTCGATGTCAAAGATTATGGCTTTGCTCACGAAATACACGAATATATTGATAATGGTATCCAAATGCGGTCGAGACTTTTTGAGGATGAGATTTGTTCCCAAGTAGATGGAGGCCGTGTTTTGTATTTGCACAATATCATGAGCTGTGTTTATTTTCCAAACCCCAAACCACCCTACACACCAAGAAATGGTCCATTCCAACTGGAGTGTTTCTCTATTTGTATGCATCAGTGTGTATGCGGGTAGATGGAGGGGTGTATTAATGGCATCAATGTGGCACCAACTGGAGTGGTGTTCTCTCTTTGTATGCATCAGTGTGTATGCGAGGAGACATAGGGGTGTATTAATGGCATCAATGTGGCACCAACTGGAGTGGTGTTCTCTCTTTGTATGCATCAGTGTGTATGCGAGGAGACATAGGGGTGTATTAATGGCATCAATGTGGCACCAACTGGAGTGGTGTTCTCTCTTTGTATGCATCAGTGTGTATGCGAGGAGACATAGGGGTGTGTTAAGGCATCAATGTGACACCAACTGGAGTGGTGTTCTCTATTTGTATGCATCAGTGTGTATGCGAGGAGACATAGGGGTGTATTAATGGCATCAATGTGGCACCAACTGGAGTGGTGTTCTCTCTTTGTATGCATCAGTGTGTATGCGAGGAGACATAGGGGTGTATTAAGGCATCAATGTGACACCATATGAGGGTGGTGTTCTCTATTTGTATGCATCAGTGTGTATGCGAGGAGACATAGGGGTGTATTAAGGCATCAATGTGACACCATATGAGGGTGGTGTTCTCTATTTGTATGCATCAGTGTGTATGCGAGGAGACATAGGGATGTATAAAGGCATCAATGTGACACCAACTGGAGTGGTGTTCTCTATTTGTATGCATCAGTGTGTATGCGGGGAGACATAGGGGTGTATTAAGGCATCAATGTTACACCATATGAGGGTGGTGTTCTCTATTTGTATGCATCAGTGTGTATGCGAGGAGACATAGGGATGTATAAAGGCATCAATGTGACACCAACTGGAGTGGTGTTCTCTATTTGTATGCATCAGTGTGTATGCGGGGAGACATAGGGGTGTATTAAGGCATCAATGTGGCACCATATGAGGGTGGTGTTCTCTATTTGTATGCATCAGTGTGTATGCGAGGAGACATAGGGGTGTGTTAAGGCATCAATGTGACACCAACTGGAGTGGTGTTCTCTATTTGTATGCATCAGTGTGTATGCGAGGAGACATAGGGGTGTGTTAAGGCATCAATGTGGCACCAACTGGAGTGTTGTTCTCTCTTTGTATGCATCCGTGTATATACGGGTAGGGGTGTATTAAGGCATCAATGTGGCACCAACTGGAGTGTTGTTCTCTATTTGTATTCATCCGTGTGTATATGGGTAGGGGTGTATAATGTGTATCAGCGTAATACGATCGGAACCATTAATCCCTTAAATATCATGTCCGATTCTCTTGTTGAAACAAACGGAACAAACAATCATTAAAATAGACTCGTCATGCACTACAAAATGAATTTTATATGTGCTATCTGACCGATTTATTTTCACCTGAATCTTACATTTATTACGTCCACACGCATAAATTCTTTTCTAGATAAGGATAGATTGTTGATCTGCCACCTTGACACAAGGCATTGTGGTAGGTTACACCTGTCATTAGATAATGACACTTCGCCTTGACACTAACCTGTCGAACGTGAAGCTGTGGTTAGTTGTTATACAAGAATTATATTATTTTACCTTTTGACGGACCGAGATTTAATAGACTAGCAAGATATAGTAAGAAGCTGCAATATGAAACAAGTGTTGACCACATGTAGCAACTAGCTAGGTATCGCAGGACCCATGAAGATCCGGGGAAGAATAGATCTTCAGCAACTCATGCTTGCGATAAAAGACGACTAGGCTTGTCGTAAGAGGCGACTAACGGGATCGGCAGGTCAGGCTCGCTGGCTTGGATGATGTATGTCATCGTATCCCAACTTAGTGGAACGATGCTCCAGATGTCAATCATTGGATTGTCTGGCCCAGACTCGATTATTTACAGACCACCGTCATGTAGCTGGAATATTGCTGAGTGCGGCGTTAAACAAGAAAACAAACAAACAAGGTATCGCAGGAGGTGGCTATATTTAGCCAGAGGTAGCAACAAATCAAGATGCAGCAAGATGTGGAAAGAGGTATCAAGATGCAGCAAGAAGGTGCAAGATGTATCAAGATGTAGCATGAGGTAGCTGGAGGTAGGGAGATGTAGCGGGAGGTATCAAGATGCAGCAAGGTATGGAAAGAGGTATCAAGATGCAGCAAGGTATGGAAAGAGGTATCAAGATGCAGAGAAGGTATGGAAAGAGGTATCAAGATGCAGCAAGAAGGTGCAAGATGTATCAAGATGTAGCATGAGGTAGCTGGAGGTAGGGAGATGGAGCGGGAGGTATCAAGATGCAGCAAGGTATGGAAAGAGGTATCAAGATGCAGCAAGGTATGGAAAGAGGTATCAAGATGCAGAGAAGGTATGGAAAGAGGTATCAAGATGCAGCAAGAAGGTGCAAGATGTATCAAGATGTAGCAAGAGGTAGCTGGAGGTAGGGAGATGGAGCGGGAGGTATCAAGATGCAGCAAGGTATGGAAAGAGGTATCAAGATGCAGCAAGAAGGTGCAAGATGTATCAAGATGTAGCATGAGGTAGCTGGAGGTAGGGAGATGTAGCGGGAGGTATCAAGATGCAGCAAGGTATGGAAAGAGGTATCAAGATGCAGCAAGGTATGGAAAGAGGTATCAAGATGCAGCAAGATGTGGAAAGAGGTATCAAGATGCAGCAAGAAGGTGCAAGATGTATCAAGATGTAGCATGAGGTAGCTGGAGGTAGGGAGATGGAGCGGGAGGTATCAAGATGCAGCAAGGTATGGAAAGAGGTATCAAGATGCAGCAAGGTATGGAAAGAGGTATCAAGATGCAGCAAGGTATGGAAAGAGGTATCAAGATGCAGCAAGAAGGTGCAAGATGTATCAAGATGTAGCATGAGGTAGCTGGAGGTAGGGAGATGGAGCGGGAGGTATCAAGATGCAGCAAGGTATGGAAAGAGGTATCAAGATGCAGCAAGGTATGGAAAGAGGTATCAAGATGCAGCAAGGTATGGAAAGAGGTATCAAGATGCAGCAAGGTATGGAAAGAGGTATCAAGATGCAGCAAGGTATGGAAAGAGGTATCAAGATGCAGCAAGAAGGTGCAAGATGTATCAAGATGTAGCATGAGGTAGCTGGAGGTAGGGAGATGGAGCGGGAGGTATCAAGATGCAGCAAGTTATGGAAAGAGGTATCAAGATGCAGCAAGGTATGGAAAGAGGTATCAAGATGCAGCAAGGTATGGAAAGAGGTATCAAGATGCAGCAAGAAGGTGCAAGATGTATCAAGATGTAGCATGAGGTAGCTGGAGGTAGGGAGATGTAGCGGGAGGTATCAAGATGCAGCAAGGTATGGAAAGAGGTATCAAGATGCAGCAAGGTATGGAAAGAGGTATCAAGATGCAGCAAGGTATGGAAAGAGGTATCAAGATGCAGCAAGAAGGTGCAAGATGTATCAAGATGTAGCATGAGGTAGCTGGAGGTAGGGAGATGGAGCGGGAGGTATCAAGATGCAGCAAGATGTGGAAAGAGGTATCAAGATGCAGCAAGAAGGTGCAAGATGTATCAAGATGTAGCAAGATGTGGAAAGAGGTATCAAGATGCAGCAAGGTATGGAAAGAGGTATCAAGATGCAGCAAGAAGGTGCAAGAGGTATCAAGATGCATCAAGAAGGTGCAAGATGTATCAAGATGTAGCATGAGGTAGCTGGAGGTAGGGAGATGGAGCGGGAGGTATCAAGATGCAGCAAGATGTGGAAAGAGGTATCAAGATGCAGCAAGAAGGTGCAAGATGTATCAAGATGTAGCATGAGGTAGCTGGAGGTAGGGAGATGGAGCGGGAGGTATCAAGATGCAGCAAGGTATGGAAAGAGGTATCAAGATGCAGCAAGAAGGTGCAAGATGTATCAAGATGTAGCATGAGGTAGCTGGAGGTAGGGAGATGGAGCGGGAGGTATCAAGATGCAGCAAGGTATGGAAAGAGGTATCAAGATGCAGCAAGGTATGGAAAGAGGTATCAAGATGCAGCAAGGTATGGAAAGAGGTATCAAGATGCAGCAAGGTATGGAAAGAGGTATCAAGATGCAGCAAGAAGGTGCAAGATGTATCAAGATGTAGCATGGGGTAGCTGGAGGTAGGGAGATGGAGCGGGAGGTATCAAGATGCAGCAAGGTATGGAAAGAGGTATCAAGATGCAGCAAGGTATGGAAAGAGGTATCAAGATGCAGCAAGGTATGGAAAGAGGTATCAAGATGCAGCAAGAAGGTGCAAGATGTATCAAGTTGTAGCATGAGGTAGCTGGAGGTAGGGAGATGGAGCGGGAGGTATCAAGATGCAGCAAGAAGGTGCAAGATGTATCAAGATGTAGCATGAGGTAGCTGGAGGTAGGGAGATGGAGCGGGAGGTATCAAGATGCAGCAAGGTATGGAAAGAGGTATCAAGATGCAGCAAGGTATGGAAAGAGGTATCAAGATGCAGCAAGAAGGTGCAAGATGTATCAAGTTGTAGCATGAGGTAGCTGGAGGTAGGGAGATGGAGCGGGAGGTATCAAGATGCAGCAAGATGTGGAAAGAGGTATCAAGATGCAGCAAGGTATGGAAAGAGGTATCAAGATGCAGCAAGAAGGTGCAAGATGTATCAAGATGTAGCATGAGGTAGCTGGAGGTAGGGAGATGGAGCGGGAGGTATCAAGATGCAGCAAGATGTGGAAAGAGGTATCAAGATGCAGCAAGGTATGGAAAGAGGTATCAAGATGCAGCAAGGTATGGAAAGAGGTATCAAGATGCAGCAAGAAGGTGCAAGAGGTATCAAGATGTAGCAAGATGTGGAAAGAGGTATCAAGATGCAGCAAGGTATGGAAAGAGGTATCAAGATGCAGCAAGGTATGGAAAGAGGTATCAAGATGCAGCAAGAAGGTGCAAGATGTATCAAGATGTAGCAAGATGTGGAAAGAGGTATCAAGATGCAGCAAGGTATGGAAAGAGGTATCAAGATGCAGCAAGGTATGGAAAGAGGTATCAAGATGCAGGAAGAAGGTGCAAGAGGTATCAAGATGTAGCAAGAGGTAGCAAGATGCAGGAAGATGTAGCAGGAGGTATCAAGATGCAGCAAGACGTATAAAGATGTAGGAAGATCAGCAAGATGTAGCTGGAGATAGCAATATGTAGCGATATGTACAAAGATGTAGCAATATTACAAAGATGTAGCAATATGAAATACAATGTGGCAAAATTTAAAATGTACCAATTTGAAATAAGACGTAGCAAGATGCAGCAGTATAGGAGCAATATGTAACACATGGTAGTAAGGTGTAGCAGTGTATAGCAAGATATAGCAAGAGATATTGGGAGGTATCAAGATGCAGCAGAAGCAAGACGTAGCAAGTGGTTGTGTCGGTATCAAGAGGTATCAAGATGAGGCAGGGGGTAGCAAGACGTACCAGGGTGAGCAGGATGTGGGAAGTGGCAGTCAGGGGTATCAAGAGGTACGAGGGGCATTCAATACGTTTTGCAACTTCAATATAAGACCAAGTCGCAGAATATCTTTTGCACTTTTATTTTTCATAATAATCTCTATTCACCTCAATAAACTTATTCCATTTGTCCTTCAAGCTTTTAATACCACTTTTATAGAAATCCGCAGATTGGCCCTCTAATCACGCCTCTGTGGCAGCCTTTATGTCCTCGTCATGCTGGAAGCGTCTTCCACGTAGGGCAGATTTCATTTCAGGAAATAGTCACTGGGGGCTTAGTCTGGGCTGTAGGGTGGGTGGTTTAACTGTTCGAATCCACATTCACATATGGCGGCCTGTGCAATTCTTGACTTGTGAACAGAAGCGTTGTCATACAAAAGTAGAATACCACGTGTTAAGGACCCACGGCCATAGCAGTCATATCAAACAAGGGGATAAACAAGACGAAACAGAAAGTACCAGGAGGTAGAAAGTAGAAAGGTGAAGCTAGATGTCGGTGAAGGTAGCAAGATGACACAAATGGTGGCAAGATGTAGCAAGATGTAGCAAGATGTAGGAAAAGGTATCAAGATGGTAGCAAGTGTAACAGAAGTAGCAGAAGGAGGTGAGGTGAGGTGAAATGGGGTTTAACGTCGCGTCCAAGATTATTGCACTTATATAGCGACGTGCATGTACGTGTGTGTGTTTGTGTGGCTGCTTGTACTTGTCCGGACTGATGCCGATTTATAGTGCTAGCTCACTGAGATACCATGTCGCAGTTTAACATGAATACCCCACTCAGACACAGTATACTGACTCCGAGCCGACCAGTCCTTGTTTTAGCCTTGTTTTAGCCTTGTTTTAGCCCCTTAATGCCGAGCGCCAGACAGGGTAACAACAAGTGCCATCTTTTAACGTCTTTTGGTATGACGCGGTCGGGGATCGAACCCCGGACCTTCCGCTCTCCGGGCGGACGCTCTACCACAAGACCACGGAGGCGGTCAGTAGCAGAAGGAAGCAGGGGGTAACGCTATGTAGTAAGATGTAGCAAGGTGTAGCAAGATGTACGGACTGTGACGTGGATAATGGTCTGTGATACGGGGTCGGGAGTGTGACAATTGAGGGGTCACCTCATGGACACCTCATGTTCCGACCAGAATGAACGTTTGCAACATGACATCACGGAGGAACCGGAAACTGACACCTGATGGCCGTCGATTGCCTGACAGCAGACGTTGACAAGATCAATACTTCTGTATTCCACAGTTAGAGTATGCAGTTTTCAAACGTGCGTTATGCTAACATGCGCTTAATTATGATTATTTCCCACCTGTTCACAACTGCATTTGTAACGCTGAGGTGTTGCATGAATGTGACGTGGGCAGTGAGGGTTTATTTATGACTCACCCAAAGGAAAACTATCTTCCAAAACTGTTCACGTGATGGAAACCCATATAGAAATGTTATAACTGTACATTGGTGGACGCTTAAACACTCATAAATAGGGGTCACCCAGAAAACTACGTGACACTGTATCCTTGTGCAAGGTTATGATACACCTATGAGGACAAATGTATGTGTACTGTGCACCCAATATAATTAAACAAACTTTGCTCAAAGTTCAAACCAAGCTACATTATGGCAACTTCACATACCAGTATACCAAGCTGCACGCGCCAGCCAATCTTAGCACAGCTCGTGTGAACTCGGTCAACCCCTAAAGCGTTTGGCAGCTAACCTAGGCCATGACGTCAACGTTCGTGCTACGCTCGTGGTCAGCAGAATGACTGACCAATGCTGATCGAATTGAGCTACGGCACTACAGTCGACCAATCGTTGTCTCTCTGAAGGTCGAGCAAGGCTATATAAAGGTGTATACCCCGCTGCTGCTGATAAGATACATTTGACAGGCTTTAACATCGTGTTATTACTTGAACAAACATGGCTGAATTGTTTTGTTTCGAAACGTCGGCTGCACATCGCGAGGAAAAGAAATATGGAGCGTTTCTAAATTATTCCTCAGGTAGGTTGTTTCATGCTTCATACATTGAAATATTACTCATACCTATGAAATATTCTTGCTTATTCATCCAAACTGAAACAAAGGCCATTACCTAGATGTCTTATAAAGTAAAGTTTTATTCCACGAGCCGAGTAGTTTTAAACATGTCTACTGTAGCAGATCTATTAATGATGTCATTTGATTTTGACGTGATAGTAACAGATGACGTCACAATGGTCTGCAAAGCATTGTGATGCAATATCATTGCATTCCAAGGAGGGATCGTTTGATCTAACCAAAGCCATATTTCTGGAGACCAGTTAAATAACGTCGTGAAAGTGAAACCATAGGAACAATAAAATGACACTTGTAATGGCTCACAAAATACAAATCTTAAATCATCACTCGCGACTGGAAAATAATCTAAATATGACAACAGTTTGCAACTATTAATCACTAGGTCGAGCATTTATTTATTAATAAAATATCTACATCTTACCGGGTTTTAGCATCATCCATGTTTTAACCTTGGACCTATGACTACGGGACGTCGATGTCCTGTGTAGCAGCGTGACACCCTATCACTTCAGGAAATGAACATCGGGAGTATATATACATATGAGCTCAAGTTGTACTAACTACAAGTGTGTTTGAGGCAGGGCTCGCTACTCAATGATGTAGTTTAACCGTTAACCGTACATCATATAGAGTCAGTGCAGTCAACTTAGTGACTTGGGTGCTCGCGATCAGAATCACATTAGATGTGATATTAAATGACCCCCCCCCCCCCCCATTCAACCAATATAATATATAAAGTGATCGCCTGATTATTTTTTACTTTTATAAAATTGAGTATTAATTAATGCTTATAATTGATAACATAATGAATTCTTACGTTTACTTTTTAAAGTCTATGAGAATTATTCGTCGATTGTTTGGTAGTAGTTAGGTGTAATTGTATGTTATAAACTGATATAAAACAAAACGCATAAAAACCTTTCTGAAAGTGTGTTTGTTTTGTTGAACGTTCTGGCGTATTGTAAACACATTGCCGTCTTTAGTCGACGATATATATTGTAAACCTCGAGGAATGTTGAAAGCTGTCATGAAGAAAATAGCGTTGACACTGAACGCCGAATAATGCCACTTATTTCCTACATCACCGTGTTTCTGTATTGAACTTGGCCGTATTTCAGTATGTATTGATCTGAAAGTGCTTCAGTTGTAAAGCTATGAAATTCAGACATTAAACATTTCACTTCAGTTTTTAAGGTTCGCATGACGCATATCCGTTAAAATGTATATGTTAATTACTTAACACAAACTGTCACACGCGTTATTTGAATCAACTGTCAGCGCTGCGCCTCCAAACTCCATGGTTACTGCATGCTGCCTGGGTGTCTAGCACGAGTAGGATGCATGTACAGCACGTGCGAGCTTGCGAGAGCAGTCAGCCGGCGGATCAATACTGACCTTTGCACCCAGTGAGCACGTGATCGCTGTGTGAACTGGCTGGCATGATGTATGCCTCTGAAGATTTTGATGGGTTGAGAAGAGATTCACACAGCTGTTTGAGTGTCTTATTTCAAAATACGTGCTTTCTGTCCGTAAAACTGGTTAGTAGAAGGGTTACAGCTCATCGAAAATAGGCTACTTGGGTAGATGAAACATTTTACAATGATGAATTTAATTGTGACCGATAATATTTGAATCTGAGTTTAGATTTCGGTGGCTGATTGCGTGGTGTTGTACCCCGACTGCATGGGGCGGTGCCGGTAAATAGCTACATCTACCTATATTCCTTCATCGTTTTTTATCC